CTCAAAGCTATTGCAGAAACATTTTGCAATATTTATGAAACGTTTCAATCTATCACATGAAATATTTCTGAAATATTTCTGAAAGGTTTTTGTGCTGTATGGGACATGCCTCGGTGGTCAAATTAGTGAGACGCCCATCTAGTTTATAGAGGAAGGTCCAGGTTCAAACCTTGGCTGAAAAAAGTAAATTTTTCACAATAAATTTAAAATAAAAATCATTTATAATAGATACCAGACATTGTGTCTGCGCTCTTATATTCTTTCCCACATGGAAACAAAACTTCTAATGGACGTCCATTATACGTTTGTCATGGAGATTAACACCTTCCAGTATACGTCTATTAGATGACCAATGAAAGACAATGAGAAATCCATAGTTCCGCATTGCGGACATCTTGGACCTCCATTATACATCTTTAAAGATGTCCATTAGACGTTCCGTGGATCATTCCCAGTGAAAACAGTCAAGTCAAAATGACGACAATATGACGTCAAATTAGTCGATTGTTGTCATGGCGTCAAGAAAGTGGACCAAAATGACGAAAAATTGACACCATATATTTTGACGTTGTACGCGATGAAACATCATAAAGAAAGATAAAAATGGATATTTCAATAATAATTGTAGAGTTATATGGGAAAATCTCAATCAATGTCATGTTGACATCAAGATGACTACATTATGATATCATTTGAATATTCTATATCATACTGTGAAGGTTTAGCTACAAATAAAACTAACATTTTCTCCACTTGTGGAGAAAGGGAATACAATTTATTTTGTATTCTTTTTACATATAATAATTTTATAAAATCGCGGTTTATAACTTATTGTTAGTTGCGTCGGTAACTCGATCGGATGGACTCGGATCCACGGCCCACCGCCCATGCCGAGGACCAATCGCATCGACTGACAAGTGTAAGCGATTACTAGGGAAACCAGTGTTGGTAGAGGTCGCGGGGTGGCAGTGCCATCGCTAGCGTCGCCTATCTGTTATGTATGCCGTGTATGGCAGTTAGTAAAGAGCATTGAACTATAACCATATTGGAAGGAGCACTCCATTGTTGTCGTGCGGTCAGAACGGTGCGAGAGGGATAGTTGAATGGGAATGGAGCTATTCTTGTCTAACTACAGCGATCACGTGACTCGATATACTACACAGTCTGAACACATTTGCTTTCGCAATTTTACTCTAATTTGCTTACTTGTGTAATGATAAATTCATATCTTTATCACGTGTTTTAAGACAATTTTTCATATAACATTCTCTTCCCATTTTTGATAGATATACACTTTTTGGTTGTCACCACTATACGAGAACAAATCTGAACCAATGTTTTCAGCCACGGTAGTTGACGTTAAAAAGAGACATCACCATTCCCATTCAACTATCTCTCTCTGACCGCTCGATCCTATGGAGGGGGTAGGCAGTGCTCCTTCCAGTATGGTTATAGTTCAATGGTAAAGAGTTACGGACGATCGCGGGAAGCGAGCGGACGTGTGCGATTCAAGGAGAGTCGGTTAGAATTGAGGGTCGAGAATAGACCTCGCGAGCAGGAAGACGTGTCAGTTTGACCGTGGTCTCGGTCAGTTGCGTCTTGTGTTCGGTTGGAAACCTAGCGTGGCCAGTAGTGTCGCGTGTTCGAAAAGTCTTCCCTGTTGCAAAGAACCGATAGAAACTAATAAAAAAAATATATTCTATCTGAAAAAGATGTGTTTTTGTCCTTGGAATCTCTTATAACTTCTGATAGGATTGATGATTTTGCCAAGTATGTTATTTAATCAGGTTTTATGTGTATATATCACAACTTATACAAACTGATAGAACAAAGCGACTCGGCGAGATCAATCTGCAATTGCAGATAATATCAAAAGTTTAGGTGTCTTTTATCTGCAATTGCAGATATCTTTAAAATTTCAATGTTTGATTGTATTCAATCGGAATACACTTGCACTTACAAACTAGGATGTATTAGTACTTACCATCGTGTTCAATATATAGAGATTTTAAAGGAATGTATATGTTTTAATCAGATTTCGCTAGTAATCGTTTCATATATGGATTATCAAAGTCAAAAGGTATCTTTGGTTCGAAGATCGTGGATCCGTATATGCAAAGCTTTTATCTTAATTTTATCTGCATATATCAGCATCTATCCGTACAGTGAAAGATTCACTCTCAGTATGAGGCCAGTGTTTTTATTGGGAAATACAGATATAACTTCTATTCGTTTGACTCTGAATACCTCAACTCATTCGGTCCTAGATGGGAATATTTTCGATCGGTCGTTATATGGATTCTTAGATAAAAATGATTCTATGAAAATGTATCCGTATTTGCTAACTTATTTTATTTGCACCTATTGGTATGCATTCGTATTGTGAAAAGTATGACCTCACTATGATGCTGTGGTTCTCTTATCAGTAAATACAGATTAAATAAGTTTATATGGAATTTTCCCGATGCAGTCACTTTAGGGTGGGAATATTTTCGATCAGTTGTATGGATTCTCGTGCAGCAGACGAGCATCTATATTTGCAGAAGCTGATTGTAAATACCGCGATGCGTCTGGTACTCCATGACAATATTTAAAGATAGTGTAAGTGTCCCTTTGCTGTGTTGCATGTCCATACAAATGTATTTTAAGGAAGGCAAAACATTCTAATTTGTACTGTTTTTCATGTTTTAATAGATATGCTCCACGTAACAAATGTAACATGAAATAATTGAAAAAACAAAAAGATTCAATCAAAAAGTTATTTGATAAAATTAGTTTATTTTATGAAATTAGTCACTGTTACTACTACTGCTGCTGCTGCTACTGCTGGTACTGCTGTTGCTGCAGTAGCTGCTACTGCTGCTGCTGCTACTGCTACTACAATTACCTCCAGAGTTAGGCGGCTTTTCTTTTTGTTTTGCATCTTTTACAGTTTTTTCTACAACATAGATAAGTCCATAACTTACTTTTTATATCATGTTTTTTAAATTTAGAACTTTCAGTGAAATAAATTTTCGCTAGGAATAAGTTATGACTTGGGAGTAAATCATGGCTAGGGCATAGTTTGCCCTATCCTTATCTACAGAAAATTATGAATCTACTTACTTGTCTTCACGACGTGTTGCCTTACGACTCTGTTCATGTCAGAGATTTTTGCCTTATAAATGTTTGGTAATCCCCAACCAATTCTTCAACTTTCTGTTTGTCATAGCGACGATATGATTCTAAGAAGTATCTGAATATATCTGTAAAAAATATTTACTTCTATGAAGGTTGTGTGAAACACTGACAGTAACAAAAAGTATAATCGTTGAAAGTTTATTTTAAGTTTTGGAGAAAGCTAAATTATGAAGTGCAGCATCCAGCAATTCTACGTTAAGATTTTTCCTTTTTTCAGAAAAAGCAATACCCTTGAAATTTTGAAACCCTACGATTTGGGGTGAAAACCTACATGTCCTACATACGGGTTTTTACATTGCTTTAAGATTAGAAAATGTATAATCGCATGAGTGCGAAAGAACTAGAACTATGGGGATTGTAAGAGCGGGTGCTCGGTAGTGTTGAAAAAAATTTTTTTAATCTCCGTTATTTGAGTACATACATAATACATTCAATGAATCTCGTGAAAAGTGGAACTAGATAAAAAATGCGAAGCTGAAAGGAAACGAAAGAAAAATTTATTCCCCTTTTTGAGAAAAATTTAAAGATTAAAAAAATACATTTCAATATGAAAACATTCATTTCATGAATTTTTGTATACAAAAGTATATATACAGGGTGTCCCATAATATAATTATTGACAAAGCCATCGTGTATAGAATGGACTAAACTGAGTAGAAAAGTCCTGTACCATTTTGCGATTTTCGCAATATATAACGAGAAATAAATTATTAAAGATTATGGAATAAACGCGTATCTGACCGGCTTATCCCACCCACCGGCAAATGCGTAACAACTCAGAGTGACAGAGTAGGGGCGTAGCTCCACGCATCGTTCATGTGTAGTGTCACTGTAGCGAGTGAACAACTTTCCACTCTGTCGCTCTTACAAAGGCTGCAAGTTAATGAGAAATACTTCCCACATTTGCCGATGAAAAGATAAACGATTAATTTAACTTGATTAACTTGACTATTTGTACAATATAAAAATGGATACTTACCGCGAACAGCAAGCGCCTTCGTGGGATTCAGCGAGGGTTTCGGAGTACTCTTGGTACGGTTACATGCTGCACCTGTTACGCTCGATCTTTTCAGCTCTCTATCTCCAAAAATAGCGAGAGCCATGTTCTTTACGAACATCCCGTCCGAACGTGCATTAAACACGGCATTATCATATGTTATTTTATCTATCCAAATATTCTGGCCGCAGTGTACCTATTAATTTCATAATAAATTCTTTAAAACAGCATGCAATAAAATATTCTTAATTCTTTTTTTAGGCTAACATGGAACAGTCAGAAATTATAAGAGCATGCGAAAGGTAGCTGCAGTTTCAGAAATTATGTTTTGCAAAAGTACGTTTGGATTTCGAGGAGAAGCGAATGTAGACCACATGCGGAATTGATGGACGTTTTTGCATTCTAAATTTACTACTTCCCAATCAACATACTTCCGACAATAGTTTCGGACTTTTATATACAATAGTAGTTAGAACTGGTTTCGTTGCTAGTTGTACAGCCGCAATGCAACCAAAACAAATCCAAAATAAAATAGTTGTTTCGAACCAGAAAGTAATCATTATGTAATGGTTTTTGAAAAGTAGTAAATTGGCTAACTACATTAACCAAACTGATAATTCAATATACTTTGGCTTATCTTTTCTACATCACCATCTTTACGGATAAATCCTGGGAGCGGAGGTTTACTGATGTCTTCGAGACGTATGTCTTCATCAATATTACCTGCTGCTGTACGAACACCTGTAATTTTTCAAATTACTTTTATATTTATGATGTAAAGATACGAAGCCATATATAAAGATTTTCGTTTCACAGTTTTAGAAGCAAACTACTTTCAATTGTCTGATTCAGGATGTCTAATAACTTTAACGATAAAAATATCATAACATTGAAGGTTTCTTCACGATAAAAATATTTTTTTATGACATCAATAAGTAATTAATGAACGTGTGCAATTGGAATTTGTGCCTACTTTTACGTATAATGTCGGCAATGAGTTCGTATGAAGGCATAATTTTTTTATCACAGTTCTGAAGTACTAGTTACTTAATGATCTTATACATACATATGTCCATTAAAGTGCATTAAAGTGACAATATTTTGATTTTGTTTTTAAATTTTAAGTTTTATCCCAAAAATATTTTTTTATGCAACAAAACATCCTCACAAAAGATCTATCGGGATAAAAACATTTATTACAGATCGAAAGGGTCGAAAATTGTATTTTTTTGTTAAAAGTTATTATATGTTATGTTCCTACTATTTTGATTCTGCTTTTCTTTTCATGTATAATTTTAATTTGCCGAAATTTCGGAATAAATTATTAATTATTTGAAATTTACATTTAAATTTAAATTTTTTAAAATTTACATTATTATTCATGCAGAATGCCATAAATAGAGAATGGAATATTCACCTATACTGAACAATAAGAAGTACTTACTCTGCAGTTGTTTCCAGTTGCTCTCTATTGTACTAAGAGATCCCATTATGAATGCCTCAAATTTTTCACGCGATTGCTTCGATTGTTCAAGTTCAATTATTAACTTTTTAACCAGTTCAGTTAGCTCTCGCAAGCAGCCAGCAACATTAATGTTTTCCCTTTCTACAGTCTTCTTCGAGTGTGGTTTATTCTGTAAATACGATACGTTTTAATTTCCGATATATATATTTTCATACTCATATGTATAACAGTATTCGTAAGAAGAAAGAAATTAAGAGAGAAATCCTATTAATTTATATTTTTGCCCATTGCTTTCTCAACTTTCCTGTCATCACAAAATTTCTTCAATAAAAAAACTAAGAGACTGACACGCTTCATTCATAAGTTTTGTGATGGGAAAAGTCTGATAAAATAATGGACAAGTTAAATTTCTATAATTTTCGCAGTTTCTTCTCATTGTCAGTTGCACGCACTTACACTTGTTTTATGGACATGCTTCTTTTTGGTGAGGTGTAAACTCTTCTTTTTGGAATGTTTTTTATGCTGTAGACATGACAGTTTTTTTAAACAGGATATTGCAAAATGTGACTCACTACCTAGATAACACAGAGAATCCAAACAGAATCCAAAAATACTTTGCTTTTATTTCACCATTTCTGATTGAGTTTTTTTAATAAAAAAGAAATTATTTTCATAAAAAAGGTTCTTTTGTATCCAAAAAAAAAGTTCAGAATTGATGACATAAAAACGAGGTCCTTTTGGATTCTGTGTGCTATCTGGGTAACTTCAGAGTCGATGAAAATACATAGCGTGCCTTCTACGTACTTGATTATTATTGTTCAAATCATCTGTTGGATTTGAGCGAGCCATTTTCGAAGGATCGATAAAAATTTCTGGCACTGTTGGAGGAGGGACCAATGTATCAAAATTAGATGCATCATTCAGCGGAGTTACATCTGTTTCTGTTGACCGTTCACTGGGAGGTTGCGTTGGTGAACGAGTCGTGTGACTTAAAATCTCAATGGTAGAGGACTTGCAAATCTCAGAATCTTCTGGGTATTCACATGTTGACGTAGGTGAGTTCCGTTGAGAAAGTTCAGCGCTCTTTAGTGGAGACGCCATATGGGATGCCGCAATATCTAAACTCTATAGAAAACATGATGCGATATAGGAAGGTCTTGATTAAATTGATAACAGTTGGGGAAAATTGTAATAAAAGCTACACATTAGTCAAAGTAACGATAATGAATTTAACAGGTCACGTCATCTGAACATAAAATGATCACAAATTACAAATTTTTTCTCATGCAACCATTGTATATATATTATAATGTATTTATTACAAGAAGTACGTTGTCAACTATAAATATATCTAACATTAAATTCCTTAAAAATGTTTTTTATTACAATTGTCCTCAACTATTATCAACTTATCTATACAAGATCTAGCTAACTCTTGAGAGGTTAACCAAGTAATTATAATTTACTACTCACTTCAGAATCTTTTAAGATGTTTTCTAAGGAAGATATCTGAAAAGTTAACATAAAGTTGCGAATGAGGAGAAGATTTGCAGAGATAGTATTAAGTCTCGTCTGAGTTTCTAAGATTTGTTACTATTCTTGCTGTATTCTTACCTCCGATTCATTCAGTTGCGCAAGGTCCTCCTTAAACTTTTTTTTTAATTTACTTTCTTGCAACGTTCCTGGGGATCTTTTAACGCTTTTCTAGAATATAATGATTCGACCAAATTAAAGCAATTAGAAACAGTCACGAAAAATTTCATATTTTATAAGATTTGAATGTTAATGAATAATGAATTGAATATTAACTATATTCATAGACATAATAAAAATAAATCAGTGCTCGAAATTAGATGTATGATACATTGCATGTACAATAGATTACATGTATGTATAATATATGGGCTTTATTCAATTCACATTACACATTACACATCGCGGTGAACGCACCTCTGTCTCGCCTAATCGTCTCATAAGAAAATATAAACTTAAAATATAAACGTAAACTTAATCCTACAAAAATGTACACCTAATTCCAAGCATGATCTTAAACATTACACAATTATTAATGTAACTGACCTTATTTTCTTTTCCTTGTTTTGGATGACGTGCTTCTTTATGGCTGCTTCTTTTCTTTCGTTTCTGTCCTTTGCCTCTTTCAAAATGAAAACCTTCGTTTTCTTTGTTTTCTTCGTCTCCTCCGTTTTTTTTGTTTCTTTCGTCTCCTCCGTTTTCTTCAATTTCATTTATTATTGTATCCTGCGAAGATCGTTTTTGTGTACAAAATCAAACCATTATTGTCAAAAACACCGAATCCTGTTCATTGCTTCATTCAAGATGCATAAAAAAATGTTTTTGCGAAGTCTTCTAATGTACAGTACTTGTCGAATCAAAGTCTGCACAATTTATTTTTATGCTAAAACATGAATCTTCTATATTCCCAAATTTTTTTGAAAGAAGGCGACGTAGTCTTCGATTCCGGTTGAAAAGTTTATTACTTTGCATTGAACATCTTCGGCGTTAACGATTAGTATATCTCCTTCTGTGTCGTGTACTTTAAACAGGTGGTCCAATATCCTTCCGTTGAATGTCCATGGAGCTATTAAAATTTCACGACCGTATAAGTAGCATATATTGTTGACAAGCACAAAGCTGTGAATTTTCATAATTTTCTTCGATTTTATTTGTACTACAGTATCGTCTGTTCTTTGTGGACGGATGTATGCGGTACTACGAAGCACGATTTCCTTGTAAATACCTCGATTGAATATTTTTACAGGTATGCATATTCCATGTAGGTGATTCATTATCACTGTTTCAATCTCTTTGTCGTATCGGCCTGTACCGATCAGCGTCACACCGTTATCACTTTTCACACAGTTTTTAACCAGATGCGTAGGTTTAAATAAGTTATGACAATAATTACGACAAGCAGGCATCGGTGAAGCATCGTCGATATGTGATTGAATGAATTTTTTCTTTAACACTGAATTTGCAATTTGATGACTCACGCCGTGAGGCGCATTGATGTGGCGTTTAAAATGAAAAATTCCATTTTCGAAAGGAAATGTTGAACTTGCCCATAGTGGTCCACTTTGTCTTACCGATTCACATAGGTGCAGCATTGAATGCAGATTGAATGTCATAACTTCCTCTCCATATAGAATTTCACACTGTCCTACAAATTGAAGTAAATCGTATTCACATTTTTGAAACTCTGCTTCACTTATCTCGCTTTTTAACAGGGTATTAACACTTCGAACGAATAAAATATAAGATTCGAAACATTCATCGTTGAGTATTCCTTGTAGACATGGTACACTGTCGAATAACAACCAAGATTCCCATTCTGATGCTTTCCATTTCGGTGTATCTTTTATCGGCCTTACTAACCTGTGAATTTCATGCGGTCGTTTAATTTTTGATCGACGTTTGTTTATTTCTTCTCTATCACTTGGCTTTAAGTAACAATTCCTTGAGGCCGTAGTCCATATGCCCCATAATTGTTTGGTTGTACCTAGTAATACACCGTGCATGTAATCTATGGGGAGACCCCAAACACAATTAAAATGATTCATCCTCAGTAATTCCGACCGACCTTTTACGCCGTTTATTGTTAAGCCGGCGCGGCGAATCTTTTCGACCTTCTCAACGTCTTGTAAATGACTTTCGTGTGACCTTAATTTCGGATCAGTGCGACATAATGGATATCGCATTGCACTGCCATCATAAAATCCGTACGCATAACACCAACTGCATCCGTAATGTCCATTGTACTGTACGCGAAACTGTACAACCGGACGAGCTACTGTATCCATGCATAGTAGAAGGCAGTAAAGTTTATAATTAACCTTGTCTCCGGTTAATCGGAGTGTGACATTGATTCCATTATTCATCAGATCTTCAGCCTGATCGATGAAACTTGATAAATACGACTTCATCAATTCAGGCTTTGGCTCTTTAGAAGTCACAAATTATAGTCCACCGAGTATTACGTTACGAAATCGAACACGAGGACTCAATTCGTTAATGTGGAGTTGGATTGGCCAGAAACTACGATTTGAACTCTTAAACATTGGAGCACCATCTATGTTCACATTATAAGTTAAAGCTCCCGGTAAGAGTTGTTGAACCTTCTTGTACAGACGACCGTCATATATATCGTGTATTAATCCATCATTCGGTGTTTTTTTCATTAATTCAAGGGTCTCCAATAAATCTGATTGTATGCTTGCATCACTCAACATCATCTTCAGTTGATATTTTACATCAATGGACATAAATTGATTCGAACTTTCTGAAGAGAGTGTATACTGCTTCTTACAAGATACACATTCAGTTCGCAAATGGCAGATATTTTCTGTCAAACTTTTTGAGGCTAACAGTTGGTAACAATTTTTAGTTTCGCAATAGAAGTGTAATGTCATTGTATCGCGAGGTGGATTAAAGACTTTTCCTCTTGCATAATGAGTTGCATTCCAGCATTCAAAGTTAGGACCAGCTACAGTCTTAACGAAATCTATCAAGTCATCTTGATTTTGGCGTGTGAGATTTTTTGTCACTGCATACGTTTCTATCATTAGCAAAACATCCGATACTGTGAGATGAGATTCGGGAAACATTACAACGGTACCATTCATCTTATCAATATTGAAATGCCATTTGGATTCATCTTCGGATTCGTTTTCATGTGTTGAATTTGATTCACTTTTATTACTTTCGGATTGGCTTTCAATCGAGAGTGAGTCATCTATTTCTTCTATTAAATCTTCGTTTGAATTCTCGTCAAGTAACATATATTCACAATCGTCAATAGGTTCAGTAGAAGCATTCGGCAATGTGCTGGGAAGGAAATCATGTTCTTCGTTTAGAGGAGAACCAATAGTTAATACTTCATTATTTCCCGACACACTAGGAAAAATGAAATAATCAGCATTGGATGTTCCTGGTTGTGGGTTTAAAACGTCGGGTACATTAATTTCTCCATCACCTGATACATTAAACACAACGATTGTGTAAAATATTGTAGGTACTTTTGCTCGTAAAGATTGAGTATTCTTGGGATGCAGTCTAACATGCGCTCACAGTGCTAAAAATGTATAATGTAAGTGACGTTAACTATGTATTTTTGGGGTTGTGAGCACATGTGAGCACATTTTGGACCTCAGTCTAATTGTAAGATCACTTATCCACTTACTTTCTTTTTTAGCTTTTTTTGCTTTATTACGCCATCTATCACGTGTTCTCTTACTAACTTGTACAGGTTCATATGATGGTGAGAGAATAAGCTTATAAACTTTCTTGTTTTTTATCATATCCATCGCGAAAGTGTTAAATTACGTAAAAGTAATAATTGTTGATAGATGATCAAGTGATTACTTGATTTGTAATAAAAAAATCGATCAACCGATCGACCAATAAAAACATTTTTAATTTCCTAATTAAAACAATGTCAAACAGAGTATCTGAAACGGAACAAGACAGAATCCCCAAGAGTATGTATGAGTAAAAGGAAAACAAAAAGTAATAATAAATAATACTAAACATAAACTTGAAAATTAATTAAATTCCAGAAATTGCCATTTTCGGTTCTACCTGTGCCTTGGTAGCCTAATAATTATATGTAAATTATACGAGTATATACTAATACCGCGCAAAATATTATTATCGATAGAAATTGAGCTTAAGAGGTGCCGCTTTTTGTCATTTATACCTGACATAATTGATTGGAGATTATCTGATCTTTTCGGAACCAATAAATAGTAGTAAGGTACAAGGTAATTCATCTAATTAAATCTTAACAGTCAAATATTTTAAAAAGATATTTTACAAGAAAGCGTATCAAATAAAAGTTGCTTGATTTTGTTTTGGAAGATACTTTCTGATAATCTTAATTTGACCTTGGATAAAGATCATGACATATTTTAAGATAATGTTTATTTTCTTAAATAAGTATCTATTTTTTATTGTATCATATTTTTCTACAAATTAATTTAAGATTTTGTCTGAAACATTTTTTTATTTGCCTAATATTTTTTTAGACATTCAAGAAAAACTTCATAATGATTTCAATATTTAACTTATAATATTTTTATAATTTGTTAGAGGAAAAAGTGATACAGAGCTCTTTTATTTGATTTGGTCTAAAGAATATACGATTACAATAGTGTCCCAATTTGTAACGATTTTTGTATACATGAAAGTCAAGATTTCAAGGTCACCAAGTTGCAGCACCAAATCTTGAGATCAAATCAAGTCAAAAAAAGTTCTGTATCACGTTTTCTTCTGACAAAAAATTATCAAGATATCATAAGTTATAGATATTGGAAAGTTGCCATATTATTCTTGAATAACTAAAAAAAGTAGTAGGCAATGAAAAAATGTTTCAAACAAACGCTGTTTAAAACAATAAATTAATAAAACATAATTAACTAATACATTTTTTCTATTAGAAAAATAATACAATAAAAAATAAGTACTTTCATTTGAGAAAGTAAAGATGATCTTGAATTAATCTCATGATCTTTATCCAAAGTCACATTAAGATTATCATGAAGTGTCACAAAACCAAGCAACTTTGATTTGAAATGATTTTTTATACAGTTTCTTTTTTAAATGCTTGACTGTAAAATTAAATTGAATCACTGTATAATGAAAAACGAATTTATAAGCATATTTGCATATATCTACTTACCTCCATTTGTGTAGCTTTCATAAGAGCTAACTTTTCTTTTAACAACTGAGTTTTATCCATAATCTTCTGTTGTTTTTGAATTTTGTCATCTTCATCCGTTATCTCGGATGCAGAAAATAGAAGTGAAGATGGTACAATTTTTGGCCTCTCTTTTTCAATTCGGCGTTGTAGATCCTCCAACGTTTCTTTAAACAAAATTAATTATTGTATTGATTTGCGCAAATATTATTACATTTAACTACGAGCTGTTCCATAAAAACAAGGAATAAAAATCGAGACAATCATGCACTTGAGGACAAATCAGGGTAATAATACGTGTGTTCATAAAATTTGCTTCCTCATTGAGAAAATTTTGATAGTGAAATTTTTTAAATCTGAATCCCTAAAATGAGTATCTCCAAATTCAATACCAAATATACTTATCTTCGACTCAACTTTTGTAACAAATTTCAGTTGGAATTTATGAAAATTACAGCGTTTATATTGAAAAAATGTAAACTCTTTGAAAATCCAAACGACCATATAAATTTTCACAAAAACCGCAAGAAATTTAAGCGTAATTCAATTGCAAGTGAATAGTGGGGATTTTTAACCATGGCTGAGGAAGGGGGATTGCGTTACTAACTGAATAGTTTTACATATTGTACCTTCAACGAAAGCTACTGCTGCTTCCCGGTATTTATCGACACACCAGACTTTATACAATTTCCCTTTTTTCAAAGGAATCTGAAAGTGATGTATTTTGTCACTCTCGACGATTTCGTATGTCAACTCTCCAGTATATTTTATATAGCAAAACATTCCTGAGTACGGAAAAAATCGCTCGTTATGGAGGGAATTTGTGAAAAGATTGCTATCGATAAGAATGAATACAAATCATTTAGCTACAGATAAGATCCTATAGGATCCTACAGATACAGATAGGATCCTATAGGATGATTTGTATTCATTCTTATACTTGTGTGTGCGTGCATGCGTCTCCTATAGGATCCTATAGATACAGATAGGATCCTATAGGACACGCATGCATCCTATAGATACAGATAGGATCCTATCTGTATCTACAGGATCCTATAAGACACGCATGCATGCACACACACACACACAACAAGTATATAAAAGAGATATGGAAACGATGGAGAAAACAAGTAATTGTATAATATTAATATATATCTAATTAATATGTATTATAAACGTGTTACAACAAAAGAAAACAAAGTAACGACACACAGGGCTTTAATGAAATAGTACATACCGAGATACGAGCAGGAATAACCAAGCATGGAATAATTGTAGTCACAATAATCTCATATATGTATGATCACTACATGGCTAGCGCGACTGCCAGCGAGAAATGACTCGTTGATATATGTCGAAACGAAGTCGAATCGACATCGACACCTTCAAATTGATATCAAATT